GATTTATTCTTCTTCTGCTACCTTTCATTTTATTTTGATTTGTGTAATTTCTTTGTTTTTATTGTATACAGTTATTTTTAAATTAAATTAATACAATTTTTGAACTGAACTGAATTAAATTTTATAAATTGAAAAAGTCACATGAAAACCTGAAACCTGACTTCCTGGTCTCACTCCTGGAGCTGGTACCTCTTTGTCAGACATTAGATTGTAACTGAAACTAGAGTGGAAACATTGATAGAGACTGATTCTATACGGCTGCACAAAGTGCAAAACACAAGACTGGACCCTAAATTCACTTAATTAGTCACTAAATTCCCTTCGATTGGCCCAGCTGCAGGTTTTTTATGATTTTAATCTTTGCAAATAAATGTTCAAGTCTAATTTCCTGGTTCTTTAAGACATACAGTATATTGGAGCCATTTTTAGATGAAACATCTCAACAACGGTTGAGTTGAGCTCCTCACCTGCAGGATCCTGTCGAAGGGCTTCAGTCCAGCCCTGTCAGCTGGACCGTCAGGTCTGATCATGTTCACATAAACACCTTTCTCCAAGAAGCCGTCCGACACACTGAAGCCAAAATCATCACTCTCTGGGTCCTTTATCACCGTTACCTTAAAAACACAAACAGACAGCTTTTACTAACCATTAAAGTTTTACTCTAACAGCTAAAAAACTAACTTCTCTCTTTATCAAATCAAAACATTACACAGTTGTTGCAGGTAAATAAAAAGTGACGAGTCATTTAGCACTTAGTGGTTATAATAAAGCTTTTCTGCTCAACTTGATCCAATAAAAACAGGTTTGTAAAGAGTTAAAACGTGTGTGAGCTGACTTTGTGCAGCTCCAGAGGAGTCGGGGACAGAATCCCCTGCATCTCCTCTTTGATCCGACGAGACTCCCACGTCCTCTCCGACGCTCTCAGCGAGGCCTTCGGTTTCTGCTCGTGGTGCAGGAGAGGGGACTGGTTCTCCTGGTGGAGGTGGGCTCCGAGGTGCAGGTGTGCGTCCTGGTTGAACGAGGTCTCCTCGTGCAGGTGGGAGTCTGAGCACAACAGGGTTGAAAACAACAATCCCTGATGTATTTATACACATTTAATACAACAGTTCTTACAGCTGTTTTTACTTTTATTGCTCTGTTTATGAAAGGTTCAGACTCAGCCGCCCTTCGTTCCTTCACCTTGGTGAATGTGGGCCTCCTCGTGCAGGTGGGCCTCCTCGTGCAGGTGGATGCCCTGGTGGAGGTGTGTGTTCTGGTGGAGGTGTGTGTTCTGGTGCAGCAGGTTTCCCTGATGAAGGAGTGAATTTCTCCGCAGGGGGCTCATTCTGCTGTGGCTCAGGATGGGCTCTACAGGAGGCTTGTTGACACCGTCCACACCCAGACTGATGGCTGTGCCCGTCATGATGGACGCCTACAGCAAATACAGACAGAAACAGACACATGAACACAATTTACACACAACTAACTTACTAAAGTTAAAAACTGTGTAAAACAAAAACACGTTTTTAAATTGTTTCTTCAGGCTTCCTGCTCATGACGAGCTGGGTGTTAGCGAGCTAACAAACCTCGATCTCTCTGAGCAGTTCTGACTGGCCACAGGTCTCCAGATCCTCCAGAGCCTGACACCAGAAACTGTCGTCTGGATCCAGCAGAATACCATCTGTTTGTCCCAGAAACCTGTCAGGAACCAGAAACAACCTGAGTGTTGATCAGAGAGTCAGTTTGAATCAGAGGAATAAACTACAGATCCTCATCAAACACAATGTGTCTGTTTTTACTGACTCTTCATTCATTCATTCATTCCTTCCTTCCTTCCTTCCTTCCTTCCTTCCTTCCTTCCTTCCTTCCTTCCTTCCTTCCTTCCTTCATCCATCCATCCATTCATCCATCATCCATCCATCCATCCATCCATTATTCATTCATTCATTCATTCATTCATTCATCCATCCATCCATTCATCCATCCATTCATTCATCCATCATCCATCCATTATTCATTCATTCATCCATTCATTCATCCATCATCCATCCATTCATTCATCCATCCATTCCTTTGTCCGTCCGTCATCCATCCATCCACTCATTCATTCATTCATTCATTCATCCATCTATCCATCCAACATCCATCTATCCATCTAACATCCATCCAACTGTCCATTATCTCATCTATCCATCCAAATGACCATCCATCCGTCCATCCATCCATGCATCCAACTGTCCATCCATCCATCCATCCCATTGTCTGTCCATCCATCCATGCATCCAACTGTCCATCCATCCAGCCATCCAACTGTCCATCCATCCATCCATCCCATTGTCTGTCCATCCATCCATGCATCCAACTGTCCATCCATCCAGCCATCCAACTGTCCATCCATCCATCCATCCCATTGTCTGTCCATCCATCCATGCATCCAACTGTCCATCCATCCAGCCATCCAACTGTCCATCCATCCATCCATCCCATTGTCTGTCCATCCATCCATGCATCCAACTGTCCATCCATCCAGCCATCCAACTGTCCATCCATCCATCCATCCCATTGTCTGTCCATCCATCCATGCATCCAACTGTCCATCCATCCAGCCATCCAACTGTCCATCCATCCATCCATCCCATTGTCTGTCCATCCATCCATCCATCCATCCATCCATCCATGCATCCAACTGTCCATCCATCCAGCCATCCAACTGTCCATCCATCCATCCATCCCATTGTCTGTCCATCCATCCATCCATCCATCCATCCATCCATCCATTCATTCAACTGTCCGTCCATCCATCCATCCATCCATCCATCCATCCATCCATCCAACTGTCCATCCATCCATCCATCCATTCATCCATCCATCCATCCTCACAGAAGTGGTAGACAGTTTTGTATTAGACATGGTTTACCATTCAAAGATTACCCTTAAAATAACGTACAAAAAGTCTTTAAAATCTTGTTTTTCCTTAGTAAAGACATTGTTTACTTGTGGAAATGCTGGATGAAAAATGCAACTCATAAAGATTGTTCTGAAAACCTCATGTGGGCTGAGCCTGAGACGAAGTCCTCATGCAGACAAACGATACAAAAATCCTGGTAAAAACCAGTGAGAAACAAAAGATCATCTATCCTTTATATCAGGGTCCATCCTGGTCCTGGAGGTCCACAGCCCTGCATGTTGTACCTGTTTCTCTGCTCCAACACACCTGATTTGAATGAATGGATGATTTTCAGGCTTCTGCAGAACTTGGAGGAGGTAATTCACTGACTGAATCAGGTGTTAGAGAAGAGAAATAAATAAAACATGCAGGGCTGCGGACCTCGAGGACCAGGATTGCCTATCCCTGTTTTATATCTTTAGTGTCTGCCTCAGCTAACATCATTTCTGCTCCTTTAACTCACATCATGTAACAAGCACACATTCACCAATCAGAAACTGTCTTTTATATCAGTGATGTAATGTGTTAGCCATCATGTAAATAATGTAGAAAAATATTGCTACAATGAAATATTTACTTGTTCCTATACGTGAGGAGACTGCAGCACTTTTAGTACAGATAGAACTCTTGGTTGAACTCAGTTTCTGCACTAATCTTGAATAAAGCAGAGAAGGCGACACATCAGTGACTCTACAGGATGATGTTATTAGTTCTGGTTAACTCGAACATGAATAATCTTTAACATTTCATTTCCCTGACTGAAAAGATTAATTCACTTTCTCTGAGCTGATGATGATGATTCCCTCATCCCATCCCTCTTTCCTCTGCACCCCCAGCAGTTATATAACTGCAGTGACACGATACTATCCTCCCAAGGCTTAACCTCCCGACTCATAGCTACACACACAGAAACACGCACACACACGCTCCAGATACTCAGCTTGTTTCACTTATTTTATGACTCAGGCTAAAGAAGCATGGTACTGACACCAGTGAAAAATATCCAATATTAGCTGAAATACAGGATGCAGTCGAGCAGTTTAGAGGGAAACTCTCTTCAAGTCAAGAGTTTCAAACTTTACAACCATCACTGGAACAACCATGACCTGAAATAGTGTGTATTATTTATTATTTATACCTGACTTTTATTGACTAAACTAGAATAATGTACACAAGTCATTTAGTTTAAAAGTTCACTAAATAATTAAATACATATTCTACTTGCAAAGCCTAATTATTAGGGATGAACCGATGCAAACATTTCAGCCGATATCGATGTCTGACATTTACCAATATTACACAAACACACATATTTATATATACAACCTGTTAACATTCAGTGGAACGCCCGCTCGTTTTATTTTGAAACGTCTTTCTGTGTTTCCGTTCAACCTGTGTCCATGTTTAATGCATCAAAATGGTCATCTAGGCCCTCCTCTTTCGATTGACGCCTCATTTGACCAACTGGGTTCAACTATGGTCCCTCCAGAGCCAATAATCTATGAGAAGTGACCAACTTCCAGTTTCTGTCATCCTGGGCAAGATTGACTGTAGATTCAGCCAATCAGCTCTGAGCTTCATTCTGATGCCACAGCTGTGTAGCCAATCACTGAACCTTTCATTTGGTGTGTATATTGAGGGGGTGGGAACTTTGTTTAATGACGGACAAGCTAAACATGGAGTAGGTCGCCGTATTTAGACAGTCCTGCTACGCTACCGAAGAAAGCAACGCTCACAGGAAAACGTTTTTTTCCCATCGTTTTTTGGTCAGTTAGCTGTCTAAACCTGCTGATAAGATGAAAACATATTTGTTATTACGTGTTTAGAGTGCTTCAAGACATGGAAGAGGTATTTTTGTGGCCAGGAGAAGTAAAAATGTTTGGATAAAAAGACGTCCGGTAGCCATTTTGAATCGCTAAGTTCGTCATATTTGAGGACAAATCTGCATCAAATGGGAGTGAAAAACTAGTATTTTTTCGCTGCTGCTGGTTTTATTAGCTGTGTGGAATGTTAATGCTCTGAAAGAAATAAGGATATTTTTGTTTATTGTTGTCTTTTGGCTGTTTGGTGGCTGAATGTACGCCAGATAGTATAAATATTTCAGAATATTAATTTATTTTTTTTAATTTAATCATGCTGTGAGTAAATATAGATGGTAAAATGTGTTTTGTGGGGTTTTATCTTTAATTTGAGCCCAAAGTGAAGTCCCTGTGTTGAAGCATTTAGAAATTACAGTGTTTTAGACATACTGTACAGGTGTACTAATATGCAAATGAGACATGCTGGATTGTACTTCGTCTCAAATATTCATATTTTATGCTACTGTTACCAAATTTGAACTGGTAATAGCTGGGAATTAATATTTTAGCTCAGTAAAATTTGTTTGATAATATCTCATTCCCTTCATGTTCTGTGATACTTTTTAAATAAAAAATAAATATTTAGGGAGCAAATATCTTGACTTTTGTGTATTTTACTTCAGTACACTAAATACTAGTTACAGTTACAAAGAATATGACTGCTGAAGTTAAAGATTCAGATTATTAGCTTTAAAAAGTGACCAAGCTTGTGAATTTACTCTAAAGGGTTCAAAAGCAGTACTTCATTTAATTTGTGTACCTTTTAAGGCGTTTTATGGTATTTTATGCCCGAAGGTTAACAGATTTATCAGACCAATACCAATGTTAATACTGATATATCGTGGATCCCTACAAATTATTTAGATATACCTCTAGAAATAAGCTAACTGTGTTTTTTATTTTGACAGGAAGAACATGTTTTGTGGGTTACAGCGTTTCTGAAAACGAATGAGAAGCCTGACGTTGGATAAAATATATCGAAACAGAAAAACAGATGTAAAGTTTAAGGTTCAGTCAGACCCTGACGGTTTGTCCCAGTCATCCTCGCTGAAGCCCCCGTCACTGAACGGGTAGTTCTTCCTTTGTCCAACAGGGGGAGTGGTGCTGCGCTGTTTGGCACTGCGCCATTCGTTGGGGTGGAGCACGACACCGGCTCCCTGATGACTGTAAGTGCCTGCAGAGGAAAAACACAACACATTTTAAATTATTGTTTCCTTTTACTGGAGTACAGCACAGAACCAGATCCAGATGTTCCAGCGTAAAACTGACCCTGGCTGCCGTAGTCTGCATCCAGTCCAGAACCATCCCAGGACTCCATGGCGGAGTCCACGCTGGGTATCGTTGTGGAGTAAAGCTCTGATAGTTTGTTGGTCTGTTGGCTGTCCGTCAAATCGTCCTCTTCAGGGTCACTGATCTCATTCTCTGTGTCCTCCACTTCCACCGTCTTCCTCTCTTCTAAATCTTTAAGATAAAAACCCAGAGTCAGCGTTAAACTCATTTTTTATTCAAAAGTCTTGTTGATAAGTTGATAACAGGTGAGAGATTTGAAGAAAGCCATTGTTAGAGTCAAAACTCCACATGTGAAGCCCTCGATAAGCTATGAAACATTTCCTGAATGAGGAAGTGCATAAAACAACAAAAAGAAAGTAATAGGCAGTGTGTTTTGGTCAACTCTGTGTTTTAAAATGAAAGTGTGTCTGATCAGAAGGAGCTGAGTCTCCTCGAGTTGGAACTGTAACCACTGAGTGAGTTTTGCATCAATCCTGCAGCCTTTAGGGCTCTGAAAACTCTGTGTACTCACTGTCAATGAGTTTTTTAATCTTCAGGGTCACCGTCTCCCCGGCCATCTGAAGCAGGTGGATGGCTTCGCTCAGCGGCTTGCCTTTCAGACTCACACTGTTGATGGCCAAGATCCGATCCCCTACATGAATGGCTCCTGTCCTGGACACGGAGAGGTGTGCAAAATCACACAATCAGAGCATTTACACAAAGAAATGAGCCCACTTGAGGAAAATCAAGTAATGATTTATAGAAAGTGACATTTTTTAATTTTCATGAGTTGTCCAGAAAAAAAAAGAAAAACTCTGTTTAATTTAATATTTTGTCAGTTGCCTGATTAATTTAAAGTGCCTGTGACATCAAATTTTTGTAATAGATGTAAGTGCATTTTTAGAAAGATAACATTGATAAAATATTGCAAAACAAATATCATGCAGCTGAGATGAAGAGTTGCTGAAATATTTGCATTTGCAGTAACAGGAAGTGATGCCAAAGGGGAATGTCTGCATGGAAACTGGGCACTGCTACAACGGCTAACAGCACAGACTGCAGAGAAGAATGATTTTTTTAGGTTGTTTTGAGTCACGATCAGAGGGAAAGACGAGTCAGAGTTCAAATAATGTTTCAAAAACAAAGGTCAGAATTCCCATAGATATATAAAGGTATAAGTCGACCCCGCTGTTGGTCAATGGAGACAGACGTCCTCACATGGCGGCCATCTTGGGACGAGGAGTTCGCCACTCTTAACATGAATGTGTGTGGTGTATTTAGTATTTAATAAGCATAACTTGGTCAATTTTGATTGGATTTTCAAACAGATTTTTTTGTTGTAAAGGTGAGACAGGTTGTTAGAAAATGGCATACTTATAATGGACATTCATATAATAATTACGTTATTTTGCTAGGTAAAGCAATATCAATATATATACAGAATACATTTAGATTACTTTTACAAGTATTTACAAAAATATATATAAAGCAAAACTATACACAAGTCTATAAAGAATTGTACAAAATAGTACCAGCAGTGGTAATTAGTAAGAAAGAACCTTGTTTTATATGGTTTATATTTTTTACACTAGACATACAAATATTAGCATTTATAATTCTTTTACATTATAAAATAGTGCCTTACACACACACACACACACACACACACACA